TTCACGTTTGCTCTTTTGACGTTTTTCTTGGTATCAGAGAGCCTGAAAGAGAGGACGTTTTCTATCTTTCATCGTGGTAAGATCAATCAGCATTAAGTTGCAGGAGGGGATCTGTCTGAGGGCTGTACAACTTGTCTTTGGAAACTTCAATGCCTAAAAAAAGCTGAAGTTAACTGAAGTATTCAATATGAATGTTTCAGTCCAGCAAATTCTCTGCTGTTCATTATGTCCCTCTTGCCTATGCTAAAGACCACCGGACATAGGCAGAACAGGGAATAGAGAAACATGGGTCACATGGGAAACACAAGTTTTAAAGCAAATCAGGACATGTCTCTGCATCACCATCACCACAAGTCTCTCGCACACGAACTTCTGCACAAATCCTCCAGGCTCTGCCTAAAGCTTCTGGGCAGTCAAGGGGTATGTAAAAGGGTGGAGTGTTTGTTTCGTTTTCAACTACTCCAGCAGCAATTTCAAGTGCACTGGACAAGGCAGGTTAGAAAGCATGTGCTTCAGACAGAAAGGTACCACATCCTCTTTGCGTCTCCTTTCTAGGATGCTGGCCAGAAACTCATGGTCAACCATGACCACAGTCATCAGATGGTTCTTTTCCCCAGTATTCTTGCTGCAGATTGGTCCACTTGACAATCTGCTTTCACAGCTTCACTCCATTCTATTTCTAAGTAATAAGATAAAGATACTCTAGTCATAAATTTTTTGTAACAACACTATCCAAAAATCACTTCTGCACCAAAATTTGACTAGTTTCCATGTAGGAAATATTACAGACAATTCATTGTTTAAAGTTAAACAATCTTAATCTGATCCTTTTAAGTACTTCTAATGTAAATCAGTGTTAAGTCAAAAGTTTTCTCAGTTTTGAAAGCTTTGCTGATCTAAATGCCAATTGTTGTGGAATTTTGCAAGCCTCAAATACACTTCTAACAGGTTTTCAAATGTCTATTAAGCTTCTCTATCACCCTTTTTAGCCCTTGAAGATATGCCAAAACACAATGTTAAATTATGTAGCTTGTGAGGACTTCCCAATTGCATCCTGCCATATGTCAGATGATGTGCCTTTTACAATTACTGAACATAGCAAGTCATAAGAAGTTAACCATTTCCATGCTGCAGAACAATCAGGAGTTTTTATTAGGACCCTTCTGTTTCCTTGCAGATTTAAAAATACTCATGAGATGCTAAAAATTCAGCCTTTTTTCCCTCCCAAAAGTCAAACTGGATAGGAAATCAGAGATCTCCACTTCTGACACAGAATTGCCTCCATTTACAAGACTTCTACAAGGTTGTGCTTAAAGTAATAAGAAAATACCACCTTTCTGAGAGGTGCTCAACAGACATTCTCTACATTGTCCTTAATCTTAGCTTTCCTCATCTTCCCCTTCCCTACCGGCTTCTCCCAAAGTCATTTTTAGCTTTATCAGGTCTTATGCAATTCTTGGTTATTTCTTCAACAAATAAAAGTTATTTCAACCATTGTGTTAGGCCATGTCAACTGAAAACAAGATCCTGCTTGGGGACAGTTACACAACTCTTAAAGAATGGAGACATGCCTTGGAGTACCCCAGGATAATATAGCAGAGAATGGAGCACCAGGTTGTGGTATTCCTAAAGCACCCTAATATTAAAGTGTTTTATGAACTGGCCATTCAGCCAGCTGGAGGAGATTGTGGAACTCATCTGAATCCTAAGCAGTGAAGCCATAAGAAGTCCGCTGCTGTGTACAACCCTGGGCAGAGGGACAACTTAATGCTACAACCTTCACTTCTCCACTCAAATGATGTCCAGGCCAAAAAGCAGGTGAGAGGTTCACCTTAAGAATCAGTTATGTGCTGAACTGTTCATGGACATGAAAAAAAAAACCAAAAAAAAACCAACAAAAAAGCCCCACACCCAAGACTTTACAGTATCTTAAATCATTTCTGTTTGCATGTCTCTTCCGTTACTTTCCTCTGAACGTCCCACCACACAACCCTCCCACCATTTCATCCTTCTCACTTACATCACCGTAATTACAGCCCTGGCTGATCTCCTTTGTGCTGATCTCAAGATTCTTTCTTTGGTCTTGCCACCTACTCATTTCTGATTCTTCTCAGATAACAGAACGCTTGTCTCCTTCCCAGACCTCCCACCCTCCTTCCCCCTCTTCCTCGCACCATCTGTACAAGTAAGAAAGCTAGTGTTTTCCTGTCTTCAAGAGCTCTTTGCGGCACTCACTGAAAGGCATTCCCAAACTTATTATCTCCATCCAGTAAAGACTACAACAGCTCTGCTGTGGGCCTGGTAAGATATTATGCTTGTGGGCAAAACATTCTTTGGATTAGGCTTGGAAAGGGCAAGAGTCTTAACCTTCAGAAGTTTACTTTGAAGTCTGGCTGGCTGATTCAGGTTCCCTAAATCATTCTGTGCATTTACTTCCAGCTAGAGCAACATCTGTATGTCTCCAGTGGAGAATACTCACTCAGCACATGACGTTTAGTGAGGCTGCCTACACATGCATATATAGAGTCAAGAGCCCACTTCCCCTTCAGTGGAAGAAGATGATACCTACTGTTCTCATACTGCATGTTACAAATTGCACAAGGACAGAGTCAGGTATTACCAACAGTATCCACGCTGTTACAGAGCTTAAGAGGAAGGAAAGTAAGAAGGGAGGGAGGGGTCTAGAGGTAAAAAGGAAAGAGAGAAAACCCATGTGCTCAGAACATGCATCCTCTACTACAGAAACTGCAAACAGAGAAGCTCCATCAAAAGGAATTCAGTGTAAGCAAGGCAGTCATCCTTAAATTGTAAGGCATCCAAGAAACCAAATATCCCCTGGTTTTCAACTGCCATGTGAACCATAGTTGTACTCCAATCCCAATCAAGCACTCAGCATCAATTCAGATGAAATTGTGTGTGTTTTGCTTACTGGTACCGTGTTAACATCAAAGGTCAAAATACAACAGTCGTAGATCTGAGCAACTAAGCTGAAACATCAATTATAAAACTCAAGGTTAAAGCACTTGCTTTTTTTCCTTTTTTTTTTTTGTTAAATACTTACAGCAGTCACTGTAACAATGCTTTACACCTACATTTGTTGTGTAGGCTACAGAACCCAAATGCTGCAATCCCCATCTACAATCAGCATGACTCAGGCACATTGCAAAGGGCAAGACTGCTTGCCTGGAAAACTTTTGCTTAGCATGAATAAAAAAAATAGAGCACGCATTTCACCTTTTCACTTCAGCTTTAAAGAAAAAACAAAGTCTTAAACCCAACCAAGTTTAGACTAACCAGCAAAATGGCATAACTGCAGAAGAGGCTTGAATCACACTGACTGACTGACACTGACACACTGCACAGAGCAAACTTAACTTGGCTTCTTCTAGCTGAACGTCCCAGCAGAGCAGAGGGGCAACAGGAGGCTGCTTTGCTGACCACTCTGAGTGCTAAAGGCATCATGTAGCCAGACAAGGCAGAGGGGATAAAGAGACCAATTCTGTTGGTGACTTTAGAAAGTGTTTCTTTTTTGCATGGTTCCTGGAATTCTTACGCGTGTCCCAAGAGCAGTCTGGGTTAATTAGACAGTGTGGGAGCAACTATTCTATCAAGTGAATGCCATTCCTACTAGAGAACGTTATCACACTGAGAGGAAGGGAAGGACCAGCCTTCCAGTGCAAACACTATGAAATGAGGATCACACTGTGCTGTGTGCACTCACAAGCAGACTAGATGGTGTAATCACTACTCATTCCACCTTCAGTGCAGATGATATGATGTGAAGAGAGAAAACACACACTGGAAATACAACAACAACAACAAACAAACCCGCACGCATGAAATATCACTGTACAGTTGAGGGAGAAATTCTTGCTATAGCTGAAATACAGTCCCACTTTCTTAGCAGATGATTTGTTAGTACACAGGTGTACCCGGGCCAGCCAGCACCTTGTAGGTGTCAGCACATAAAATGGCCAATGTCTAACCTGCTATTACGAACTGTGACATTCTGCTGGCTGGGAGGGTTTGCACTGCTCAATAAACCCATCCCTGTGCTTCTCAGGCAGACTTGCGGCATGTCAGTGAGGTATGGTCAATTTGACAATATGAAGGTTAAGAAGTGAAATGGTGAACACCTAATAGATAGCCGGTATAAAAACCATCAGTAGTCAAAGTAACAATAGCTTTGGGATGTGATACTTCTGCAATTTTTGCTAAATTCATATTATTGCATAAACTTGATAAGAAAGCTTATTTCACAATTCAGTTTTATCATCAGGAAAGCTTTAGAGATGTTCTTACCATGCTTCAGATGTAGGCAGCTGTCATTCTGGGGCCTGTACCTGTAGAAGATTGTTTTCCTTTAACAAATTTCTGTTACAGAGTTTTTGCACATTCCAAATAAGTTTGTTTGCTACAGCATTACATGGATTTTCCTTTGTGTTTTTGGTTTTGTTGTTTGTTTGTTTGTTTGTTTTTATGGTTCTTATACCAGCCATTTTTGTTGGGGAAAACAGGGTGTTTCTTTGTATATGTTTTAAGGCAAAGAGGAGACCTCACTGATGCTTCTAGCCAACCTACTAGGCAGCAGAGTACACTGAAATGTAAAATACAATGATAAAAAATACAGTGGCTACAAAAAGGTCAGTGTAAAGTTTCCAGTGTCCAATAATCCCACACAGTATTTAAGACATAGTTAAGTCTAAGGATGATACAACACTGATTGAGGAGAAAAGCAAAGGTAAAGCAGGACAGTGATTGCAGCAATGCGCAAGTTCAGCCAAAGATGTTGATGCCATCAGGATGCTGCACAGAAATGCATAAGGGAAAGGAGAAACGTATTGTGTGTGTTTTCAAGAGCTTGCATTAAAGTGAAGTATCTTAAAACATCCATCAGAAGCAAGTGTTAAGAGAAAAGCATGTAAAAATTAGATAGCGCAAGCCCTGGTTTCTAAAATATACCTGAGGTGAACAGTAAGTAAAAGCTGGCCATGGCCTACCTGATGCTGATTCCTGCAACTTTTCTCTCTTCCTCTTCTTTTTCTTTCCCTGAAAAATAGGAAATTTTACCGTATTGTTACGTGAACATAACTTTCTTTTGTTGCTTCCCCACCTCACAGCACAGAAACAAAAGCCATCTCCACAATGAGAAAGCAGTTAGGAAGAAGAAACAGTTGTTTCTGAGGTAGCTAAAACCTTTTCTAGTCCACTTCCAACTGTTTCAATGGTAACAAGTTTTGCTCTCAGCATCTATGGAGAAATACATGAACAATACATGTTTTTATATCCACATGGAATTACAATTTCCGGCAGTTTTTCAACTAACGCTGGCAGCTGCAAACATCTAAAAGACTTCTCACGCTTAATAATCTGATGACACATATGTTGATACCATAATTTATGGCTCCTACAAGTACTCTTCACATATTCAGATACTTAACACGGTCATACATGGCAACAGCAGACAGGGTGTTGAAAGCACCTAGGACAACCATGATCGTCCTCAGGGTACAAACCAGCCAACTAAAACTGTTTTGATAATGCTTGTATCTTAACAACAGCCAAGTCTTGTGTGGCTTTGCCAGGAGAACGCAGCGTGCAATAAGCAAACAGCACACTGCTGTTCGGCAGACCACCCTTAATGTGACCGAGGTGCAGGACAGAAATGGACATCTGGCAGCTGTCTTTCTCAGACACCACACTGGCACCAGTGTGCCGGCACAGGCTCAATCACGCCAACCCACACACTCAGCCTTCTCCTGCACCCCCATCTATGGAAAAGGCTAGAGCTCCCAGTTCACAGTGTCTTTCAGGAAACAAAAGGTCAGTTTAGACCCACAATTTTAAACCTCAATCATCTTGCGTCGCCCTAATTACCACTTTGATATGCCTTCATGTGACTTCTCTTTATTGACCTGTGTTGTCAGTCAAAGCTTTGGTTTTGTTTGGTTTTCTTTTGTTAAAAAAAAAGTAAAAAAAAAAAAAGTCATATCCATTTATATTTGAAAGAAGCCTTCAAGCTGCCAGGACAGGCTCTTACAAGTGAGCTTGGGCAAACCTTGGTGCAGTTGCTGTAAGTGGGACTGCAGCCCACTGTCCATCCTTCTGCCCCCCAGCCAGAGATTACTCCACTCAGCACGGCTGGCAGCGCCAGTGTAGACCGTGCCACACACAGCAGCCACACACTGGGAGGCCTGAGGTGGAGGGACACACTGTTCCATTAGCTAGCTCTGCAAGGCAACAGGATGGACAGCAGGTGATGTGAGAACCACCTCAAACCACTGCAGTGCTCACAGAAGGACAGCAAGGGCTGTCCAAACGAGGGCTCCAGTGAAGCTGTGGCAGATGAATTTAAGTAGTCTCTAGTCTGCTCTGGCAGTCTGTGCCTTCCTGATTCTCAAGCTCCTGTCCTTATTTATCCTGCAGCAAGCAACAAGGCTGAGCAATGCCTTGTGAGTGAGCTCCCAAAGACAGGACTGAGACTAGAAGTTGGAAAGCAGATTTCAAGGGTTCTGGGAGAATCACACTGATATGCTTTATCACTTTGGCACCAACACTTCTTTACAGAGGAAAGTGCATTAATGCAGATGTTAACATGGAAAATCATGGAAAGTAAAGCACATTTTATTCTCTACGTCAGGCTTACTTTAAGTGCCAAAACATACTGAAAGCTGATCTGAGATCCATCTATGAGATACCAGAAGCAGAGGAACAAACGGAAAAGGCTGGGCTGAAAACTAGTTGTCAGCATTTCCAAATGAGGAAGTTTCTGACGACTCCAACACACAGACACCATTACATCACGAAAACACTGTGTTTCTCATAACTATCACACAACTTTGCAGGACTTCTTTGGGCATCAGTAATAACCATAGTAAAAAGCACACAGATACTGTCAACAGTTGAACAGCAATGCTTAACGTTTTCTTGCAATTTCTGAAATCCTGAATAACCAGACACACCAAAATAGAAGAATGAAAACCAAGTAGTTCATATTTTTTACTTGTACTGTTTTGTGAAATTCAGCCACATGAACAGAAGAGTCACTCCTAAGTCACTTTCAACTCTCAAAATACTGCAGTAATACCTGTGCTGAATGAACACAATTTCATTTTTTGACTGCTCAAGTTAGAAAAACTGAAGCAAAAGAAGAAAAAAACAGATCACATGCACCTGAAAAAGTTTCAGTGGTAAACTGTGATCTACTACGATCACCTTCTCACCACCACTGCAACAACAGTGTG